AGACCTATAGGCGAATCTGCCATAACAACCAAATCATCTGCATATGTCAAGATTTTCACTTCCGTTCCCAAAAGATCAATGCCCACCAAATTAGAGTCATTCAATTTACTTACAAGTGGATACAAATATAAATTGAACAATATTGGGCTCAATACACAACCCTGTTTCACACCTTTTAACGTGAAAAATAGATCAGTCGTACCCTCCTTAGTAGACACGCACGCCTCTGTATTAGTATACAACTGAATCAAAAAGTTTACAAATTTATAGCTCAACCCAATCTTCAGAAGTTGACTCTTCCTTAAAGACTTCTGTATTAAGGCATGTAAAACAAAAATATTATCCAATGTCGAAAAACCAGCTCGGAAACCAGCCTGGAAATCAGAAAATATCTCAAACTTATTCAGCCAAGATATCAAACGCATGCATAAAATTTTACAGAAAACTTTAGATATTGTCAGTAGTAACGAAATTGCTCTATAATTTTCAGGTAAATCTCTAAGACCCTTTTTAAATATGCGCCAGTCTAAAGGAATCATCCCTGATTGATAAACATTGTTAAACAGATCTACCATATATCCAATCATATCTGGGAAATTCTTATATAGTTCCACCGGTATCCCATCAATACCTGGAGCAGTACCATTTTTCATAGAAGCTAGAATCTTTTTGACTTCCTGTTCTGTTATCTCCGTATCCAACAGCTCGTCCTGCCAATTCATACACCAATTATATATAGACATATCAGGTAAATATTTACTAGAATGAAATTTCTTTGAAAAAAAAGCTACCCAATCAAGATCTGGAAGCTCCCTGTATTTACTCTTAACAAAGAAATTAATAAATCGCCAGAACTGCTTACTATCACCAGACGCCAAATTCTTATTGATCTTCTGCAAAAAAAGCTTTTTCTTAGCTCTACATAAATTGCAAGTCACATTACGTTCTTTAACAAAATTTTTAACTGCAACACTATTTCCACACTTTGACCGTCTCATCCTATTCAACGCCTGATTTCTTCTTGCAATACTCAACTTACAATCCATATCAAACCACACAAAATTGGAAAATCCAATTGGCCTTTGACACCAATCTGAAAACGAAGATTTAATTAAATGAGTTAAACCTTCCAACGTTAATACTGACTGACTCTGAATCGCACCTAATAGTTCCCTATACTTATAATTTATCTTCTCACTACCTTCTTCCCTCCAAAAAATTCTCTCACTCTTACTCTTATACTTCTTAAATGATTTTCGAATTTCCTTCTTAGATTTACAATCTAAGACTACACTTATCGGAAAATGATTACTATACACTTTATCTAATACAGAAAAACTTGTTACAATAGATAATCTATTTAACTTAACCAAAGCCAAATCAATTACAGAGGAGCCTATATCACTCACATATGTATAATAACCTTTAGATATAGATGAACCTCTACCATTTAAAACAATATATCCCGCCTCTTCACAAAAATCTAACACCAATTTTCCACGATTATTTAATACTGTATCTTTTGATGACCTCAACATCCAATCCTGATCAATATTCTCATTACTTTCATAAATCCATTCCTGCAGTTCTACTCCAATGCGAGCATTAAAATCACCAATTAAAAAGTCTATCTTATAACAATTAACCAACCTAGCTACCTCTGTCCAAATAGAATTCCATAATGCAGGTCTTATATACATAAAACAGAAAGAAATTACTATAGGCCCTATAGACAATTCCACAACAATCCAATGCCTATCTTTTTCCAAGATATTTACTTTCCAAGAGTTAGACAATAACAACAACCAGCCACCAATACAGCGCCCTCTATCAGCCTCTCGATAACCTGCCTCCGAAAAAACAGAAAATTTATCCATATTTTGCAAATTGGGAATAGCAGACCTGCCATCCCACCACGTTTCCATTAAAAAAATTATATCAAAAGTATACAAAAAATTCCAAAAAGAGATAGGCTTATTTACAATACCTTCACAATTCCATGAAAGTACCGACGTACCTATTCCCAGTCAAGTTGACATTTGTTCTTCCATTTTCTTAGAAACTATATTATATTTATAAATTTTATTATCAACTTTAACCGCATTTCTATTATTTAAATAAGTAATTGAAGCACCCAATCTCTTTTTTTCTCTTGCAAAATCATTCATTATTTTCCTTATGTCTCTAGTTAAAGGAGGAAGGTCATCCATTATAAATATCCTCGTTCCTTTTAATTTAAATGCCGCTCTTTTAATCTTACATTTATCACCATAGTCAAAAAAACTACAGTAAATCAACCTAATACTATCTTTCCGTTGTTGACCCAATCTATAGCACTGCTCTAAACGAACATTATCAACACTTAATTTATTTTGAAAAAATTCCAATACTACATCTTTAACTTGTAAGTTATCATCTTCCGACTCAGGCAAACCAGAAATTATTAAATTATTACGCCTTAAAAAACACTCAAACCGCTCCTGACTTAATGTAAACTCGGCCATTTTGTTTTCCAAATCTATTCTATCGTCCGATAGAATCTTACCGGTATCGTATGTAAATTTTTTCTCTAAATCTTCTAATCTAGTTTCTATATTAACAATAGCTTCGTCCAAATTTTCTACCCAGGAGTAGATTCTATCAATCCTAGCAATCATTCCTTCCAATTTCTTATTCTGCTTTAAATTTAGCTGAATAAGTAACGATATCCCATCCTTAATATCAAATTATCCTTGAAGTAACTCCAAGATACTCGTCTCCTCCAATGGGTCCGAATGAAAAATCTTAGATCTACTATCTGACTGACTTACAGGTGAATAAGTCTTCCTTTTAGACATGACGAAACAAACCAGTGAGCTTACCTGCAAAAAATTAAACAATTATTTAAAATACGCCCAAAAACGCCGACCATAAACGCTGCCAACTCTCAAATACTGAATCGTTCACTTAAATAATCAATTTACACCTCCTGGTGGTAAGCATCTGCAAAAAATTAAACAATTATTTAAAATACGCCCAAAAGCGCCGACCATAAACGCTGCCCCACTTCGAAAGTAAACGCGAATGCTAACAAGAAATATGGCGGTTTCCTGAAAATAATATTGTCAAAGCTGCTATTTTAAATGTTACATTACAGATATAACTACTTGATTCCGAACCGGACGAGGGTGATTTTATTGTGAATATAATTGTAGAAAAATGAAAAAAATAAAAAAGAAAAGTAAGGTAAAATAAAAAAGATAGAAACTTTTATTGAAGAGACTCTACCTTTTTATAAGCCAATTGATTTTAAACAACCTTAGACTTACAAGAGAAAGTTTTGAAATTCTCCTCTAAAAAATAAGCCCAATTATAGACATCGAAAAATTACTTCCTCTGGAAGACGACCCATGTCTCCTCAAAAGCAGCTTTTACGCTGTCTATGGACATTGGCAAATCAAGAATCATTCAGATTTGTTTATACGAAGTAATATATGAAATTAGATGCAGTTTATAAGAGAATAGTAGATTATACATACATACAATACATACTTAAAGCAATTGTTTTACCCAGTGAATAGATGTGACGTTGTTTTGTTGTTGTGTAACTAAACTGAGTTCAAAATTAACAAATAACTGATATTAAATACAAAACACTTTTTCTTTCTTTCTTTTCTTTTCTCTAAGGGTATTGGCGATCGTTTTAATATGTTTAGACACTGTGTGGAATATTTTAAATAAAGTTGTTAATTCTTTCT